GGGAGCTGGTGTGTAGCTCAGTGTGAAGGCCTTGGGTTCAGTCCCTGGTACTGCAGTTAGTCAATCAAATGGAATGCCACTTCTCCACAAAGCTGTTCTCTGGGGTTGTGTTCTCAGTGAACAAGATAAACATGATCACTGTTCTCGTGGATCTTATAGTCCAAATGAAAAATAGGGATTCATTCATTAGTATTTAGCACCTGCTATTTTCCAGATATCCCTATGCATATCAACTAAAGATAATGTTGTAAATTATATTTTTATATTATTTATATAATTACTCAAGGAGCTTTACACTGAGCTATATCCCCAGCCCTTCTTTATTTTTTATTTAGAGTCAGAGTCTTGTTAAATTGCCAGTGCTGGTTTCAAACTTGTGATCCTTCTGCCTCAGCCTCCCCAGTAGCTGAGATTACAAGCGTGCACTGCCATGCCCATCTTAATTGTACTTTAAAGAAGCGCAGTCATCTTCTTCATCCACTGGGGATCAGTTCCAGAATACCTTCACTCCCTCCTAGGGATACAAAGTCTGTGGATGCTCAAGTGGCCTATGTACATCCTGCCATTTACTTTAAATTATCTTGGGGCCGGGGAGATGGCTCAGTAGAATAAGCGATTCCCTGGCAAGCGCAAGGGCCTGAGTTTAATCCCCAGTTCCACCAAAAAGAAAGAAAGAAAGAAAGAGATACTTTATTTATTTATTTTTTTTGGCGGAACCGGGGATTGAAACTCAGGTCCTTGCGCTTGCCAGGGAAGCGCTTATTCCACTGAGCCATCTCCCTGGCCCGAAAGAAATACTTAAAATTATCTTTAGTTGAAATCCCTAATACAGTGTAAGGCGCTATACAAATAGTTGTTATACTCTATTGTTTCGGGAATAGTGATGAGGACAAAGTCTATATCTGTGGAGTACAGATGCAGTTTTTTCCTGAAAATTTCAGTCTGTGGCCAGCTGAATCCACAGATGCAGAATGCACAGATACGCAAGACTGAGTGAACATCAAGTTATGAAGCCCTAAAATAAATCAGGTGTCAATAAAGGGCCGTTAGGAAAGAATTCCTTTGAGGAAAGAACATTGAATTGCCCCAGTACAGCAACTGAGGTGGGAGCAGGGCAGGGAGACAGGAGAGGAGTTGCTTATTTATTACAGTTACTCTTCACAAAGTTATCAACTGTTGCAGCATCATAAGAATGGAAGTCTGTTCTCATCCTTTGCTGCTTTATGATTGAGACATAGATTCCTTTATTGCAGAATCTGCAGTTCCAGTTCTCCTTACTGGTCAGTGATTATTTTGAAATGTCTATTGGCAGCATGGAAGAAGTTTGTAGTCTTATTTATTTTTGTGAAACTGGATTAAACCCAGGGCCTTTATACTGAACTACATCCCCACCCCTGTTTATATTTTGATTTGGGGTCAGGGTCTCATTAAGTTCCCCACTTAGGGCTCCTCCTGCCGTAGCCTCTCAGAGTGCTGGGATTACAGGTATGCACCATCATGCCTGGGTAGAAGTTTGTCTTTTTGATGGGAAATCAGAAGATACACATGAAAAGGATAATTAATGATATATACCAAGTGCCAAAGGGATGGTATAAATATTTCTGTTCTTTAGAGAAGGGCACAGGCGTGATTATAGAAGACCTTGGGAGCAGTGCAGCTTGAATTGAAGGAAGAGAGAGACTCAGACAAGCAAAGAAAGACACTGGGCATTTCCAGTAACTGGTAAAGGAAAGAACAAAGGCAAGGAAGTAGGAGTTCCAAATCATAGCTGGGGACAGGTGCACTGTTTCCTCTGGGCCTAGACAGGGCCCCTGCGTGGCTCATTCCTGAGTAATGTGAAAGAAGGTGGCAGAGGCCTTGGGAAATTTCTTGAATATCAGACTAAGGGATTGAGGCTATCCTCTGAGCAGAATGGCAGCTGAGGAACACTGTGTTAGAATTATTCTGGCACCTACCTCAAAGTTAGGCACTGAGACTTGAGACCAGTGGTTGAAACATTTAGTTTAGCAGGTATCTGGGAAGAACATCCTGTAATGCCTTGGGAAAGGCAAGCAGTGATAGGTGAGTGGGCAGTACGTAAGGCTGTGCAAGGTCATATTGGGGTGGACCAAAGAGGTAAGGAATATGAGGGAGTGGTCCATCTTTCCTCTCTCCTTGCATCCCTCCCTCCTTCCTGTCCGGTCTTACTTTGTAGCCTAGGCTGTTCTTGAATTTGTGATCTTTCTGCCTCAGCCTCACTGGTGTTGGGATCACAGGATTGTGTTGCTAGATTCCTCACTTTTTCCAGGACCTCTCTCCCTCTGAATCTGCTCAAGAGCTGATCTGTTGTGTTCACACACACATCTGTAATCCCAGCACTTTGGAGGCCGACACTGGAGGATCACCTAAAGTTCAAGGCAGGAAAAGAGGGAGGGAAACGGAGACTGAGATAGAAAGGGAGAAAGATCAACTCTCAAGGCTCTTATACAGCTGCTCACCATCCCTAGGCTCTTTCTCTGCTTCCTCTTTCATTCTTTTGCTTTCATCCAGACTTCTGCCCCCTGCATGCCTTTTAGAACTAGTCTTGCTGAGTCATTAGTGAATTCCTAGCTGCTGATTGAGTTGTTTTCCAAGCCCTTATCTTCCTTGTTTTCTCTGACATTTGACATTTTGAGACTGTTTTCTTTTGGCTTCTGTAGTGCTCTTCTTTGCCTCTTTTCCCATCCCTTTCTCCCTCCCCTATCAAGGGCTTCTCTTTTTCCAGTCAGTATGTCCCTGTTGGTGATTTTCAGGGTCTATTCTTTGTCCTCTTGTAAGAGCCATCATTTTGTTGGATACTTACTATGTGCCAGTGATATTAAAATGCATCACACAAATGATTCTTAAACCTGGTAACAACCCCCAAAAGATAGACTTTTGCTTTTTCCTTGGTATATAGACAAATCAAGGCTTAGTGAGTTTCATTTTCCTAGGGTCACACAGTAGGTGGCAGGGCTGGGACTTGAGTCTGAGCCTCTGTCTTTACCTTTTACACAGGAAAGCCAGCTGTTGACTGTGGACCCAAGGGGCCTGCTGTAGGCTTTCCGCAGCTTCCAGCCTGTGTGTCCATGTGTACTGTACACTCGCACTTGCTGCTCCTCTGGCCTCTCCAGCCCTGTACTGGTAGCTGTGATCCAGCCCATAAGCTTGGGCTTGGTCTCAGCTGTGCCTCCCACTCCTCCACACCCCACTGTCCCTTTAGGCAGTCCCACTCATTTTTTTCTTTTTCAGCCAGTCACACTCTTAATTTCTCTGGTTTTTGTCTCTCAGGAGGGCCACAGTTGCTTCTTTGGTCACACTCTGCTCATCTCTCTCTTGACCTGTTGCTGCTTTTCTCTTCTGCTCTCTCCATCTCCCGTCCCTCCTGCGCGGTGCTGTCTGGGTGGTCTCCTGGCCCTGTTCTGACTGTGGTATTCTCTGGGTTAAACCCCACCAGTGTTTCTTGGTAGTACAGCTCCTGGGGCTGAGCCTCATTTTCCTTACTCTGCTCTCCAGCCTCTGTAGTCTCTTCGCTTCCATGTACTGCGAGTGCTCGTGGTTCCCTAGTGCAGTGCACTCATTGAGCTCCGCGCATGTCCCATGTTCTTCCCTTTTTCAGGCATACCCTTTCTGCCTGCTTTGTCTGAGGAAGTCATCATAGCTCACCCAAGAAATAAATAAATGAGAAAAAAAACAAAACAAAACAACTTAATTTCAGAGTGATACCCTGACCTATGTAGGCCTTCACTTATTCCTAGTCTTTCTTTTACAGTCTTAGAAATTCTGATTTTACATTCCCAAAGCGCCTTGTTTGAAGCTCAGCACATTGTGTAATAGTTTCTCTGCATCTGTATCTTTCCAACTGGCTCACCTTAAAGACAGAAATTCCTGACTCACATTTTAAGCTGTGAGATGGAGCACATTGCAAGGACATGGTGCTGCAGCTGTTGGGAGAGCAGCGGCAGTGTTCTTGGTGCGTTGTGGTGGGCTGTGGCTGATCTGGATGGGGTCAGGATTGAAGAGTTGAGCATGAGGGTGTTGGTTAAGGCTGATGAGTATGTACTGCCAGCACCATGATGTACACATAGTGTCAAATAATTTATGAAGTACTTTTGCAACTGTTCGATATTTCTTTTCTTTTTTTTTTTTTTCCTAAGATAGGGTCTCACTGTATAGTGCAGTGCAGGCTAGCCTTGAATTTTGTTATGTAACTCAATGCTCCTTGGGCTCAATCCCTAGTCCTGCAAGAAAACAAAACAAAATAAAAGCAAAAACAAAGTACACACATATACACCTGTAATCCCAGCACCCTGGAGCTGAAGCAGGATTGTAGCAAGTTCAAGGCTGTCGGGTCTGCAAAAGTGAGATCAAGGCCAGAATGAACTATACAGAGAAACTATATTGAAAAAGAAAGAAAGAAAGAAAGAAAGAAAGAAAGAAAGAAAGAAAGAATAAATGTCTATAATTCTAGCATGTGGAGAGGCTGAGGCAAGGGGAATACAAATTTGAGTCAAGCATGGGCAGTCTGCCAGGTGGTGGTGCACAACTATAATATTAGCAATCAGGAAGCTGAGGCAGGATGATGGGTTTGAGTTTGAGGCCAGCCTACGCTACATTGTAAGACCATGTCTCAGAAAGAGGATGGGATTTATTGAGGTCCTGTCCCAAAATGAAAAATGAAAGGGTGCTGGGTCAGATGATACATGCCTATAATCGCAGCCTTCTGGGAGGCTGAGGCAGAAAGATTGCAAGTTTGAGCCCATCTTAGATGACCTGGTCAGTGTCTGAAAGTAAACGGGCTGGGGAGATAGCTCACTGTGAAGACCCTGAGTTCAAGTCTCAGGACTGCACATGTGTATAGTTGGGGATGTAGCTCAAGAGTAGAGCACCCTGAGTTTGATCCCTAACATGACAAAACCAAGCAGCCAACTAATTTGTATTGTCTGTACCTCCTGAGAACTGAGACCTTTTGTCCTACTGATGTGGTTTCCTCTATCTGCCAGGTAAAGCGGTACCAGTGCACCTTTGAGGGCTGTCCCCGAACCTACAGCACAGCAGGCAACCTGCGCACCCACCAGAAGACTCACAGAGGAGAGTACACGTTCGTCTGTAACCAGGAGGGCTGTGGCAAGGCCTTCCTCACCTCCTACAGCCTCAGGATCCATGTGCGAGTACACACGAAAGAGAAGCCCTTTGAGTGCGATGTGCAGGGCTGTGAAAAGGCATTCAACACGCTGTACAGGTCAGCCCCTTCTCTGCATGTCACCAGCCCCTGACTCTTGGTGCTGTGACAACAGAGCTCTTTCTCCTTGGGCAAGAGAGCTGTTCACTTGCAGGGCTTTGAAATTCATACTCACAGCTATTTACTTAAAGATGAATGTATTTGGGGTTGGCTGGAGATGACAGTGCATGTGTTTAGTTTTGCGTCTTGTGGAGCAACGCACAGGTAGTGAATGTAGAGTAATTCATTCCTTTTGGTGCAGTTCCTTTATACTAAGGATTCTATAATTTTCTTTCCTACCTTCCCTGATACAACATTTTCTGCCCTTGGAAATGAGGTGCTGGAGCTGGGCGTGATGGTGCATGCCTGTAATCCCAGCACTTGAGAGGCTGTGGCAAGAGGAGTGCTGTGAGTTCCATGCCAGCCTGGGTTACATAGTGAGTTAAGACCAGTCTGAATTACAAAGCAAGACCCTGTCTCAGAAAGCAGAACACACACACACACACACACACACACACAAAACAAGGATGTGGCTCAGCAGTGTAGTACTTGCCTGGCAAGCACAAGGGCCTGAGTTCAATTTCCAGTAAAAAAAAAAAAAGAGAAACAAGGGACAGGGATATAGCTGGGTGTCACAAGCACCTGCCTGGCAGACACCAGGTCCTGAACTTTGGTTCCCAGTACCATAAAAAAAAAAAAGAAAGAAATGAGTTGGTTGTGGTGGTGATTCTTGTAATCCCAGCACTTGGAAGGCTGAGGCAGGAGGACGGCTGCATGAGTTCGAAGCCAGCTGAACTACATAGTGAGACTGCCAAAAAAAAGAGAGAAAAGAGCTGCCCATTTGATGGCTTTTCTCTTTTCCATGTGTGTATTAGGGATTTACATTAGTGTCCAGTATTTGTTATATAATAACAGAAATGACACCCTTAGAAAGTACTCATTGTGGACTGATGATAGCCAGTGTGTGTGAACACAGGAGACTGACTGGTTCAGGGTCCCCATCCAGTAGAATGTGGCGCCTGGCCTCCCATTGTGTGTAGTGTGTCTGAGTCCTGCTCTCAGCTCTGCGGCGCTTAGCTCTTTGAACTGCCCTCTGGGGTGAGACGTGCTGTGTACGCATGCTGAGGACGTAGGAGTCCCACACACTCAATCCCGGGCGCATGCAGCTGGCGCGGGGAGGCCGGGCTGTCCATTGTCTCACCAGGCATTTCTCTGGGATGTTTTGCAGACTGAAAGCACATCAGAGGCTTCACACAGGGAAGACGTTTAACTGTGAATCTGAAGGCTGCAGCAAATACTTCACCACACTCAGTGATCTGAGGAAGCACATTCGAACCCACACAGGAGAAAAGCCATTTCGGTAGGTCCTGCCATTTTCTGTTTGTTACCTATTGGATTTTAGCTGGGTGTGTTGATGCTGATGTTCTGTAGGGACTCCTCACCTGAGCTGTAACGAGCTGCTTCAGGTGAGAGTAATACAGTAGGCACCAGGGCCATTCTCTCTGCACGATGACCTTTGGCCTTATCCTTTACTCCCCCCCCCCTTTTTTTTTTTGTATTAGTGGGAATTGAACCCAGGGCCTTCACACTGAGCTATGTCCCAAGCACTTTTTTAAAAAATTGTACTTTGAGACAGGGTCTTGCTAAGTTAGCTCATGCTGAGAGATTCCTGCCTCAGCCTCCTGAGGTAGCTGAGGTTATGGGCGTGCGCCGTTACACCTAGGATTTTACTTTATTTTCAAGAAATATTTGTTGAAACTCAGAAATGTTGTAGGTATTTAAAATAGTGCTAGGGAAATACTAAGAATCAGTCTACCCTCAAGAACCATGATGTGGTGAAAAAGAATTACAAGTAAGCAGACAGTGTCTGAGGCATGTGAGATACCCAAAGTACTGTGAGGACTGGGGAGGTCACTCTCCAAAGAACTGAAGAGGGGCAGGGAGGGAGTGATGTAGGAGAAAGCGAGGGGTGGGAACTCTTAGGACTGGGATGGGTATTGTGGTTTATTACCTGTCCTTTGTTGCTTTATGGAATCTTACCTGTGTATAAAGATACATGGGGTGGCACATTTCATGTATCCATCAACGCTTATACACATTTAATGTGTATGCTTGAGAAAGAGACTTGTACCATCTGCTTTCGTCTCTGTCATAGGATGTTCAAGGCATTCAAGTAGGTGTTCAGAAACAACTTTGGGATGATTATTGATATTTTCTATGAGATAATCTGTTTGTAAGGATTTCCCTAGATGTAACGTAAAATATATTGTGGAAAATTACCCGTAAATAATATCTTTAAATTTTGACAGGAGTTGTTGTTGTTGTGTTTATGGCATTAAATATGGTGCCTATCATTTTCAAACGACTGACTACATACTTAGAAGCAATTTAAAAATCTTCAGGCATAGTTAGCTTTTAGACACCAATTAAATGGAATTAAGTTTTTAAATCACAGAGATATCCCTGAGTCATGACCTCTTTAAGGGCAAGAGCAGTTAGAGGCTAGTTGGTTCTGGTGGGATGCGCTGAAGCCTGGATTACTCTTCTCCACAGGCTGCAAAGGGCCTCTGATTTCTATCTAGGCACATGTATTTATTTGGGGGTGATTAAAACTGCTGTTTTTTCTTAAATATTAGAGAGCACCTTGACATAATTATTATAATATATAATTAAAATGCTTTATTTAAAGTATTTATAGTGTGGTTTATACTAAAATAGATATGTTCACATGGATAAGTGGTGAATGTCTGCTATGTTCAGGAGCTAAGCAGTTGTGAAGGGCAGTGTGGACCCTGCCTGCCCTCTCAAGAATTTATAGTCTAGGAGAACAGATAACAGAGGTCTGCACAAAGACAAATTAAGATGGGAAGTGAGAGCTGCTGTAAAAGAATCACTCAGCTCTGTGCCTCGTTCTGAAGGGAGAAAGATTACTTCTCCCTTATGGAAAATAAAGGAAAAGGGAGCTGAACGGTGAGGCTTGCAGCTGCTATAACATATCTCTTCTGGTGAGGACAGATTATAGTTCAAACCCCATGCGTACATGTGAGTCTCCTTACCCACTCTTAGTATCTGTAGCATTTGTCTGGCTGTAGATGTTCCGTGTGGACTCCCACTGTCAATAGAGCTCTGTTAAACGTTCAGAAGGCTTTTGTTAGCAGGCAGTGTACGTGTCCTCCCTATGGGCCTGGGGACTCACCCCCGGCCTGCTGCTCCTTCAGCTCCCAGACTCACTGCCTTGCTGAGTTTCTTCAAGAATTGCCCCTCATTCCATTCTCTGAAACCAGTGTTGCCGATCTGACCTTGAGTTCTAAGAAACTTTGGTGTAGATTGCATTTATAAGAGATGTAGAGGGTGAAAGTCTCTTAACCAGTGACTCCCATTTCTCTTTGCTCAAACACCTTATTTAGCTGTGATCATGATGGCTGTGGAAAAGCATTTGCAGCGAGCCACCACCTTAAAACTCACGTCCGCACACATACTGGTGAGTTCAGCCTGATTTCTGCTCTTCCTTTTAACCTTTATCAATCCTATACCTGTGTTTCTACAGAGAACTGTGGGACTAGGTGGACAGGCTGAGCCTAATCTGCTAAGCCTTCACTAGTAAGATTTGCATTTCTTTTAGAGATGAAAGGATCTAAAGATTAAATTCAAGAATCTAATTAAGAAATGAAAATGGGGGTGGCCAGATAGCTCAGTGGAGTAAAGCACCTGCTTAGGCAGAAACAGGGACCAGGGTTTGATCCCTAGTGTGTGCCAACCCCGCCCCTCGGGGGCGCACTGAGATGGCAACTGAGACTGGGCATGACGGTGCGCACCTGTAACACCAGAGCTTGGGAGGCTGAAAACAGGAGGATCCGTACGAGTCCGAACTGTGTAGTGAGACCCTGGAGATCCTGTAGTACATACATTTTAAAAAAAAAGCAAGAAAGAAAAAAAGAAGTGAAAATGATACAGACATATTCTTTTTTAAAAAAGCCCACCAGAAAAAATTTCTTCCTTAAACTTCCTAAGAGTGGGCATTCCAAATGCTTTGTCTCACAGGAAATTTTAGGCCTGAGATGACTAACGTATGGTTTATTCAGCTTCTAACAACTGCTGCTTGAACCCTCATAAAAACATTTATTTCACTCTCAAGGAAAGACAGATTTCTTAATCCAGTAAAATGACTTTATGGTGAAATTAACACTACTCTGTGATTCTTGCAGGTGAAAGACCCTTCTTCTGCCCCAGCAACGGCTGTGAGAAAACATTCAGCACTCAGTACAGTCTCAAAAGTCACATGAAAGGTCACGATAACAAGGGACACTCATACAGTGCACTTCCACAACACAATGGATCAGAGGTGGGTGGTGCTGTTGTCTCTTGTTTTGATCAGGGCACCGCAGAACAGCTGTTGTTTGTATCTCATAAGAAAGGTGTAAATCTCTTCACTGCATCCAAGCTAGAGGACAAAATCAGGGTCAAGATCCCTGGCTTTGCGGGAGGGTAGCAGAAGCCAGAAATTTTGGTAGACGCCCTGTGCTAAAGCCTGCACTTTAGCTCTGCCTCATTTCTGTCAGGTATGGCAGAAGAAGGTGCACTGCAATCCAGAGGTCGCAGAAACAGCTTTCAGCAGCTGGGTGTGGGGACGCACACCTGTAATCCCAACCCTTTGAGAGGCAGGAGGATTGCAGCGAGTGTGGGGCTAGCCTGGGCTACAGTCAGAGAGTCAGAGCCAGTCTGAATTATGTAGCGAGACCATGTCTCAAAAAAACGCTTTCAGAGGGTCAGCTAGGTACTCTTTTAATTTATGTTTATTTTTTTGGTGGTACCAGGGATCAAACTCAGGACCTTGTGCTTGCTAGACGAGCACTTATTCCAATGAACTGTCTCCCCCATCCTACTTTTTTCTTTCCTTCTTTCTTTCTTTCTTTCTTTTCTTTTTTTTTTTTTTTGTGGAACCAGGGATTGAACTCAGGCCCTTGTGCTTGCCAGGTAAGTACTTATTCTACTGAGCTGTCTCCCCAGCCCCCAATACTCTTTATTTATTTCTTTTTTGGCAGAACCAGGGATTGAACTCAGGCCCTTGCATTTGCCCCAGTACTCTTTAAGAGAATGTCATTATCGTTTACCCCAGTCATTCCTGTAAGTGACACATTGGTACTTGAGTTTGGAATACGAGTTAATGTTGTTTCATGTATACATTAACCTGTCAGTGGAGACGTAAGCAAAGTCTGAAGGATCCTTTTTTTTTTTGTATGGCAGCAATGGTTTTTAAACCCAGGATTTTAAGGGCTGGCCAAATAGCTCCACGGATTAAAGTGCCAGCAAGCAGGCTCCGGGGCCAGGGGTTCAATCCCTTGGCCTGCCATGCTGGCCCTGCCGAGATGGCAGTTGAGGCGTGGTGGCACATGCCTGTAATCCCAGCTCTTTGGAGGCTGTAAACAAGAGGATCACTATGAGTCTGATCTAGTAGTGAGACCCTGAACACCCTTGGGTTTGCATGAGAGTAGCAGGTAGCAGGAGACCCAACCTGTAGCCCCTTCCCTAAAATACAAAAACAAAACAAAAAAAGCTGAGCTTTTACACTGAACTATATCTCCAGCCTTGTGTTTTTTGTTCTCTTTTTTTTAAGATCGTCTTGCTAAGTCACTAGATTGCCCTGAGTTGGGCTCAAACTTTTGATCCTCCTGCCTCAGCCTGCCAGAGTACTGGAGTTACAGGTGTGTGGCCCAGTGCTTAGGTTGGTCCTTGCTCTTTTGAACTATCTGTAAGCCAGGTCTGAGAGTCACTGACTGAAGACACTGAGCCACAGAACAAGCCTCGGTGGAGCTGTAGATGGTGGTGTTCTTTCCAACCCCCTCTGTATTTCCTGATCGCTTACAGCACCATTCCAGAGGATTAATTTACTATTGTTACTTCTAATGCGTTATTGAGCCCTGGAAAATGAGAACGACTATATTTTTATCTTCCTGGTTTATGGATAAAGAAGAAGAAGCTGATACAGCAAAGTGTGTTGTTAGCTGTGCCTTCCGAATATACCCAGTATCTGATCACTTTTGATGACCGTGTTCAACCCATGTGACCTTTTCCTGGATTATTGCTGTAACTGGCAAGTGAGCTGCTCAGCACCTCTCCCTTCTCTATACTTTCTCCTCCTCCCACCTCTGCTTCTTGTCATCTCAGGGTGAGCCCTGTTCACTCTCCAATAAATAGGGAGAACGCCGTCTGGTCCTGCTGTCAGGCCTTACATGTCCTTGGTGTTGCCTCTCAGTCCACGGTGGTATCTCTAGCCTGGATCCCTCTTAGAATTCTAGACTTGCGTGTTCATTTATCCCCATTGGAATACTGAAATTTTTAATATATATATTTGTTTGTTGTTTGGTTTGGGTTTTGAGAAAGGATCTCGCTACATAGTCCAGGTTGGCCTCAAAATCCTGATGTTCCTGCTGCCTCTGCCTCTGCCTCCCAAGTGCTAGAATTATAGGCATGTGACACTGCACCCAGCTTGACGCTCTTAGTATATAGCATGATTCTGATTTTGGGGACAGTAACATATTCTAATTCTGTGGTGCTCAATTTTTATTTTTTTTTATTTTTTAAATATTTATTTATTTATTTATTTAGTGTGTGTGTGTGGCCAGCTCAGCCCACCAGGGGGCGGGGCTGGCTGGCATGTGGTGCTGGGGGATTGAACCGCGGTCCCTGTGCTTTGCTTAGCTTAGCTTGTTCTAAGTAGGTGCTTTAGACCACTGAGCCATCTCACCAGCCCCGGTGCTCAATTTTTAAACACCACTGTGGTATCTCTTTCAAAGGAGTCTCCCCCAATCACCCTGAGTTTTATTAGCAATAATAGGTCAGCACTATTATTATCTCGGTATTACTGATTAAGAATTTCTCCTCAAGGCAAGGAGAAATTAAATAATTTGCCTAGGTATCCAGAGCTTGTCCTTAGTCTAACATAGGCAGGCAGTAGATTGCAGAACCAGTTCTCACACTTTGTCACAAGGGACAGAATTGAATTTGTTGTGAAGAGGCCAAAGCTCAGCTACCTGAATTCAAAGCCAAAATCCATCACTAATCCCATGACCTTGGGCAGATGAGTTCCTTGTCCTCAGTTTCTTTATCTGTAAAAGCCAGAAGCCTGTCATCATGGTGCTGCGTGCCTGTAATCCCAGCACTTGGGAAATTTGAGGCAGGAGGATCACCATGAGTTCTAGGCCATTCTGGGCTGTGAAGTGAGTTCAAGGCCAGCCTGAGCTGCAGAGCAACACCCTGTCTCAAAAAAAAAAAAAAAAAAAAAAGAAAACAGGTAATTTACAAATTTTTGAACTTGTCTGCTAAGCTACATTTATGTGATGTAATTAGTTTTCTCATTTTTGTAGCAATCCATTAACAGTTTACCTACCTGGGAGCACTGGGGTGCACCAACACTCAGTCTGCAGACCTACCCTCACCTCAAGCCCTCCAACAGGGAGAGGTGGAATCTCAGCTTCACGTGCCCTCCACTTGCCTTCCATCCCCGGGTGAGGTCTTCCCCATGGCTGCAGGCGCCCGTAGTTCACCACCTCCCCAGCATCCCCACCCAGGCAGTGTCTCCTCTTCTCCACTTGACTTCACATGTCCAAACCTATTCCTCCTATAGTCTTTTCAGATCAGTAAATGGCAGCCAGGTTTTTCTAGTGACTGAGCCAAAAATCTTGTATCTAAAACCACCCTACCTCCCCCTACTCCCTCATCCCCTGCACCCCCGCATGCCACATGCACCAGCAGTCTGCCAACTCTCCCTGAGAGTGTGTCTGGAAGCCAGTCTCTCTTCTGATTACTTCCCTCATTCTGCTTACTGTCTGTGGACTTGGGTCACCACAGTAACCTGCTAGACAGACTTGTTGGCTTCTTCCCTTCCCTTTTCCCTGACACCAGTTTGCTGTAGCCTGTTCACCCAGGTCTGTCTTTCTAATCCATGGCGCAGATACCTTGTCTGCTCACAGCCCGCCAGAAGTTCTCAAATCATTTAGAATAAGTGTCCAAATCATTCCAGCGCTCCCTGGGTGTGTGGTGTCTCTGGCCTGGCCATGTTTCCACTTCACCTCTGTTGCTCTTTTATGGATCCCTGAACCAAGGAAGGTCTGTATGTGCTGGGCCCTCTGCTTGCAGCACTTTGCTCAGACGCATGAATGGTCCTTGCCCTCTTTTCTCCAGTTTTCACTGAGATGCCCTTTACCTGTGAGGCTTTCCCTAACCATCTAATAAAAGAACAACCCCTCACTGGGGCGGGGTGTATGTGCTGTAATCTCAGCATTTGGGGAAGCCGAGGCAAGAGGAGTGCAGTTTGAGCCCAGCCTGGGTGAGTTAACAAAAACTTCAAAAATGAAAATAAGAAAGGATTGGAGATATTACTCATTGTGAAGGCCTTGGGTTCAATTCCTGGTTCCACAAAACAAAATATAAAAAGAGAAAAAAAACCCAAAAAAACTCTTAGCTCAATATTGTGTATTCCTTTCACTCTTAATAGCACTTAGCATCATTCTGCACACTGTATATCTGTTTTATCTTCACTACTGTAGAAGCTGTACAGGGTCAGGGAGTCTGTTATGCTCATATTAGCATCCCAGGATCCAGAGCAGTTGCTGATACATAGCAGATGTTCAGCGAATGTACAGGCTCTCGCTGATCTGCAGGGGACATGTCCAACCTCCCCATGGATGCCATATTTTTTTTTCCTATACTTACATACATTAAAGTTTAACTTATAGGGGCCGGGGAGATGGCTCAGTGGAATAAGCACTTCCATGGCAAGCGCAAGGGCCTGAGTTCAATCCCCAGTTCCACAAAAAAAAAAAAAAAAAAAAAGTTTAACTTATAAATTAGGCAAAGTAGGAGACTGATAATATAAAATAATAAAATTGCCAGCATCATTACCTTTGTGCTTTAGGGCCATTCTTACGTAAGATAAAGGTTGCTTGAACACAGGCCTGTAGCACTGTGGCAGTTGGTCTGATGGCCCAGGTGGCTACTGATTGACTAACATGGGTAGAGTAGATAGCCTGGCCAAGATGGTGGGTGTGATATGTCACATTTTTCAGGTTGATGTGCAATTTAAAGTTTAGGAATTGCTGGGCATGGTGGCACATGCCTGTAATCCCAGCATTCAGGAGGCTGAGGCAGGAGGATCACTGTGAGAGTCATCCTGGGCTATATAAATAAGTTCAAGGTTAGCCTATACTGCATAGCAAGACTCTGTCCCAAAACATTAACCAATCAATCAAAAACCTTTGAAATTATTTCTTTCTGGAATTTAATGTTTTGCCCCTGGGTAATCAAAACTGGAAAATAGCACTGTGGATGAGGGGCATTTTTGTATTGTTGAGTGCATGCAGTAGGAAGAGCTAAGCAGCCCCCCCCACCAAAGTGTACGTATTGTGACTAACATTGTAGGAGTCGAGAGGTCAGCATTAGCCTGGCAGCAGGATTTCAGTAGTTAACCCTCAGTCCCGCCCTGAGTCAGGACCCCCGAGGTGCCCATACTGAGAACACGACAGTCCTCAACAGAACCATGGACTTGTCAGTCAAAAGCACTAGTATTTGAGGCTAGGGAGATGGCTCAGTAGAATAAGCGCTTCCCTGGCAAGCACAAGAGCCTGAGTTCAATCCCTGGTTCTGCAAAAAAACAAAAACACCAGGTTTGTCTTCTGCTGATCAGTTGTGTGCTTGGGGATGCATCACCCCCACTGGCATAGCCTTGGTTTTCTCATATTTCAAATGGGTTATGGGGGGCCTGCCTCTTAGCTCAGTTCTTTAAGTGGCTGCTTCAACAAAGCAGTCAGGCTCAGGTTGCTGTGGTTCATCCCCACAACTTAAGCCAGCCCAACCTGCCCTGAAGGCATTCAGAGCAAAAAAAAAAAAATCCCTCAAATGGGTTATAGAGTAATGCTCCAAGGTTTATATGAGCAACAGGTGAGTCGTGTGAAATCACTTTATAAATGATGAAACCAATTACACAAGTATTATTACTTGCATATTATTATAGCATTTATTACTCTGGAACCTAAGTCATCTAATAATTTAGAAACTGTTAACTATCTTTCAGAAATATAAGCGCAGGGGCCGGGGGTTTGATCCCTGGGCCTGCCGTGCTGGCCCACACTGAGATGGCAGTTGAGACTGGGTGTGCATGCACCTGTAGTTCCAGCTCTTGGGAGGCTCTAAACAGACAGATCACTACAAGTCCGATCTAGTAATGAGACCCTGAACACCCTGTAGACCCTTCCCTAAAAAATACAGAAAAAAAAGAGAGAGAAGAAAAAGAAATAGACGGTACAAATATAAAATTTTAAAGGTGAAATGATAGGCCCAGGTGTGGTGGCACACGCCTATAATCACAGCACTCAGGAAGCTGAGGCAGGAGGATCGCCAGCCTGAGTTGTATAGTGAGGCCCTGTCTGAGAAAAAAAGAAAAAAAGTGAAGTAGTGTGCTTAGCCCTTGCTTTGGGTGGGCCCTACCTCTCCATGTCATGCCTGCAAAGATTTGGAACCATAGCTGCAGTGTAGTCATGTATGGTATTATGAAGTGCTACCCTGAATCCTGATTTTTGATACTCATTTCTAGTTTTTTCTCTTTCACAGGATACGAATCACTCACTTTATCTGAGTGACTTGCACCTCCTGTCCACAGACTCTGAATTGGGAGAAAATTCCAATACAGTAAGTATACCTGGGATATGGTGTAGGAAAAAGTGAGAACTTTTGGGTAGAAAATTGAGGAAGGCCAGTGTGAAGTAGTCCGGATGGAACTGTGTTTAATCACCAACAACTAGGGATTGTACCCTTCTTTTGATAACAATAGTATTATTGGGAGAGGTTGTTCAGTCCTTTGTATAAGATGTGTTGGCTCAAGTCACTCACTCTAGCCTCTGGGCCCCAGAAGGTTTCCTTTCTGTCCATTAACAACGATTTATTGAGTTCCAGGCCCCGTGCCAGGACTGTGCGTAAGTGCTAACCAAGAAGTCAGGGTTTTTCCTTTCAGGACTCAAGTCTAGCACTGTAAGATGTCGCCAGAATTCCAGTTGGAGACCTTCTCTGATTGGCTCAGCCTTCTTCCCTATAGCCCACTTACTTGGCTTTTTGAAGAGAAGTTAGACTGGTCTCTACTGAGACAGGCCCACTCTATCTCAGCCTAAGTGCTTTGATTCTCACTCGTATGTTTTCTATCCTTTCCCATGTCTGCATGATGATAGAGACCCCTGCATTGAGTCTGAACTCATACAGCTTCTTTCATACAATCTGAGTGTTTTCCTAGGTTGCTAAAACTAATTTTGAGTTTGATGTTTGCTGGTGAGGAAATAGAGCTGGATTTTTTCCATCACTGTATACATAATGAATAAATGCAATCAGAATGTTTGAATAGAGACTGAGGGATTTGTGTATGCTGGGAAATAGCTTCTCTTTCTTAAAGGTGGGTTCTTGGGAGTCAGCTGCAGCACTTCTTAACAGTGTAGTTCTGGGGGAACTGTGGGGTACAGATGTCATCCCAGCACTCGGGGAGACTTAACACAGGAACTCTGCATGTTTGAACCTCGCCCAGGCAACTTAGCAACATAGAAAATCCCTGTCTCAAAATATTACCAAAAAAATTATATATATACATGGGAGCTGGGATTGTAGCTCAGTGAAAAGGTCCTGGGTTCAATCCCCAGTACTGAAAAGAAAAGGAGGAAGAGGAGAAAGGAGAGCGAGAGAGCCAGCCAGAAAGAACCAGAGATCTTAGTCAGATACAGTGGCATGTGCCTATGGTCTAGCTATGGAGGAGGATCAGTGGGGCCCAGGAGTTCCAGGCCAGCCTTAGCAACACAGTGAGACTTCATCTCAAAAAGATTTTTAGTTTTTAAAATCAAATAAATATTGTTTCTTTTGGGATTCACATCTGAAAGTGAATTTTTATATAAGTACTCGAAGCCCTTGATTCTCCTTTTAGGAGTGGCAGAGTTGCTTTTATGAGACCAGCTCTCCCATAGAAGACAGCCTCAAATGCTACACAGAACGTAGAAAAGAATTATATGAGAGCACCATTGAGGAAGTAGCAACAAGCAGAGGTAGCCTTGGAACACAAGGTCACTTAGAAAATCTCAAAAGGGCTGGGTGACTTTGCAGACCTTGCGCAAGCCCCTGTTGGCACCAGAAGAGGTGGCCAGACTCAAGAGAACTCAGTTTTGCTGATTTGAAAACCTAGGGTTCACATGAGCATGGCACTAGAAACTAAAGGGAAATGGCCAAGGAAAGAAGAAGCTGCCAGGGAGCCTCGTTCTCTGTACGTAAATTGCTCAAGTCTGTGGCTTACCTGGGAATTAAGGATGTATGGGATAGACTAGGTAGCTCAGCTAAGACCAGCAAGATTAACTAATGTTGCAGCTGCTGTGCGCTGCAAGGGACACTGAGTTTACAGAACGTTCAAGTCGGATAAATCAACATTGTTCTGAGAAGTGTAACTGAATCCACAGTCTGTCTAAACATGACCCTGCTTGAAGAGAAAAATACTGTGGAGATTGACCTCACGATGAGCCATTTGGATGTTTGAATTCATAAAGATTTTTAGTGTTGTTATGTACTGAAGGACATAAAGGAGTTGGATATGGTGATGCAAGCCTGTAATCCTAAGACTCTGGAGGCTGAGGCAGGAGGACCCCCTCAAGTTCAAGGCTATTCTGGGCTACATAGTGAGTTCAAGGTGCTTGCTTTTGCAGCCTATATACAACTTAAGTTGTGTAGCATGGCCCTGTCTCAAAGAATATACTGTATGAAAGAAGTAGGGGGGGACTGAGTGACAGAGAGAAAGAGAGAGAGAGAGACAGACAGACAGACGAATGAATGAACATGCTATACAACCTTGGTCACACAAATCACATTTTGTGTGTGGACAGGCGGGTCCTAGAAGGATATATCCAATTAAAGGGCTTATGCCTGCGAATGACTTTGTTCTTTGCTTCTTGTGTTTTTATTCCTTGTATGCACATATTAACTTTTTTAAAATGAAGATTATATGTAAAACTCAAAAAAACAAAAAAGAGGAATATGAAAGAATATGTTTGAACAAAGGAATGATTGAACAAATAGGAAACCCTAGGAAAATAAAAACTATAAAAAAAAGTCCCAAGTGAAAATTCTAGAACTAAAAAATACCATGTAAGAAATTAAATGGAAAAGAAAAGAAATTAAATGAATGAATACAGGGGGCCTGCCCCTTGGCTCAGTTCTTTAAGTGCCTGCTTCAACAAAGCAGTCAGGCTTAGGTTGCTGTGGTTCGATCCCCAGAACTCATGCCAACCAAACCTACCCTGAAGGCATTCTGAGCCAGCCAAAAATAAAAAAATAAAAAAATAAAATAAAATAAATGAATGAATACAACAAGAGGTCAGAAATAACAGCAGACAAATTATTAAGTTGAAGTATATCAATCTGAAGAACAAAGGCAAAAATATTAGGTACTTCATGTGATATTTTTAGTCACATTCACATTTCAAAATAATTTTGGGGGCCATAGAGATATCTCAGCAGCCTAAGTGCCTGCCTGGGCAAGCTCAAGGACCCGGGTTCAATCCTCAATACCACATGCTATGCCGGCTCCACCCCGGGTGTGCCGAGCTGGCCACCAGGACCAGACATGGTGTTGCATGCATGTAATCCCAGTGCTGGGGAGGCTGAAACAAAAGGATCACTACAAGTCTGAGCTGCGTAGCGAGACCCTGTACCAAATACATTTTTTAAAAATAATTTTTTTTTCTTTCTTTTGAGACAGAGTCTCACTTTGTAATCCACATAGACTTGAACTCAACAGGGACCCTGCCTCAGCCTGCCAATTGACGGGATTCCATGTATGTTCCACCATACCCAGCACCACAGAACTAGTTTCTAAAAGAAATTTATATACCAGGTGGCCTAGAAGCCCTCTGAGTTACCTTGCCTAGGTTTCTGGGTGCAGGGTTCCTTTACGGTTGAACTGTATTAAATGTCTTAAAGGTCTACTCTGGCCAGGACTATGATAAATGAGTGAGGAGTTTTTCTTTTTTTTCTTCTTTTCTTTTGAAATGGAGCCGACCTTGATTTTATGGCAATCTTCCCTCTTCAGCCTCTCATGTGCTGGCATTGCAGGGGTGCACCACCATGCCTGACTGATTAAAGAACTTTTTGGAGCCCTAGGTTCACCATAGATAACTGGTATAAGAGTATATTGAGAATGTGCAAGAAGCTGGGCATGTTGGTGCCCATTTGTAATCCCAGCACTCAGGAGGCTGAGGCAGCAGGGTCAAAATAAAACAAAGTGAACCAATAAGAAAAGGAGGCTGGGCCAGCCAGATAGCCAGCAGATTAAAGCACCTGCAAAGGTAGATACAGGGACCCCGGTTTGATGCCTGGTGTGCCGTGCCTGCCCCACCCCCAGTGTGCGCTGAGATGGTGAATGAGATTAGGTGTGGTGGTGCACACTTGTAATCCCAGCACTTGGGAGGCTGAAAACAGGAGAGTCACTATGAGTCCGATCTGTGTAGTGAGATCCTGTAGATCCCGTGCTAAATATATTTTTTTTAAAAAGAGCATTTCTACCACAGTTTACATCAACAGAGAATAGCTCTATACTTTTGCTTTGTTTTGGTTTTTTGAGACAGGGTCTTGCTCTGTGTTTCAGACTGGTCCTGAACCCACTATGATCCCAGGCTGGCCTCAAACTTCAGTAGTCCTTCTGGCTCAGCCTTCTAAGTGTTAGGGTTATAAGCTTGTGCCACCACACCCAGTTTCTTTTGCTTTGTTTTGTAAAAACTGAGACTTGCCAAAGCCAAATGTAAATTCATATGAGATAATCCCTCTCTGAGTTTCTGAACTGCCACATTTATGCCTGTCCTAGAAACTGACTCTGGCTTGCTCAGGCCTTTCTCGTTACCGAGGGTGGGTGCAGGTAGGGAGGTTCCACCGGGCCTTCTGGGTGCAGAGTTCCAGGAGCCATCCTGGCTGATGGCTCCCTGTCCTTCTGCTCCTTGCTCTTTTTTTTTTTTTTTTTTTTTTTTGTGGAACCCAGGATTGAACTCAGGCCCTTGAGTTTGCCAGGGAAGCACTCATTCCACTGAACCATCTCCCTGGCCCCATGCTTCTTGCTCTTTGCTCCAGGCCCAGAGGCACAGCCCTTTCTATCTCTTCTCCCCTGGAGAGTGGTTCCCACTCACTCTGCCCAGGGTTTACCCTGAAGTCTGGTGGTGGCTCCAGACTTTCTTTTTCTTCTTTTTTTTTTTTTTTTGTCTAATGTGTTGACACACACCTGTGACCCCACCTACTTAGGAGGCTGAGGTAGGGTGGCAATCCCAGTCCAGCCTAATGAAACCCTGTCTCAAAATAAAAAGGACTGAGAGTGTTGCTCAGTGGAAAGCCTCTGTGTTCAGTCTCCAGTACGGGAAACAAATAAAAAAAAACTTTTTCTAATTGAAGTGCAGTGTACAGATGGAAAAGGGCAGTGTAAGTGTGCAACTTGATGATTTATCACAGCTCATCACACCCGTGTACCCAGTACCGAGACCATCACGAATGTTCCTACCAACCCTGTGGCCCCTTTCTGTCTTCCTAGGGCTGTCCTTGTAAGAACTGCATCCACATTCCTATTTTTGTGCTTTTGTAATTGAGATCACATACTTTTTCATCTGTATTTTTTTTCTTGCAACATTATGTTTAAGAAATCAGTCCATATTGTTGCATATACTTACAGATCATTCATGCTGGTTGTTGCAAAGTGAGCCAGAAACACAAGTTGGCATTAAAGCAAAGTCTGGTCTGAAAAATTTTCATTTCATCTAGACTCTGCTCTTAGGTTATTTTCATTGACTTGTTTTTATTTATAAAGTGGTAGATTTTACCTAAAAATCCAGATCTCGGTCCATTCTTGAGCTCTGGTGACCCATAGCCAGCTTAGTCCCAGGCAACATCCAGCCCAAGGCACAGAGAAGGCTGCATTGTCTGCTCTGGCTGCCCCTGCTTTCCCATGCTGTCACTTGCCTGCACCTCTGTGGTTGGCGCCTTTGTCACCCTTGTCCTGTAGACTGCTGTGGTGGAGGTGACTGTGGATAAAGGGATTGCAATTTTCCCTTCCCTTAACTACAATGAAGAGTGGCTGTGTTATTGAGTGCCTCTCAGTAGTTAGATCATCAGGCATCCTGTGGGTTCCCTATCCCCCACCCTTTTATCTTTTTAAGTGCCTCTGCCTTTTATTAATTCCAACACTATCTTTGTTCGTTGTCATTGTACGTTTCTTTGATTTGTTTGATTGCTTACCATGTGTAGTATTAGAGTATCACAGACCAGATATGGTGGTGCATCCCTGTAGGTGGTCTCAGCATCTCAGGAGGCTGAGAGAGAAAAGAAACTGGGACAGGAGGAAGGCAAGGTCAAGCCTAGGTAACTTAGCACAATGTTGTCTTAAAGAAAAATATGAAAAGGACTGGGGATCATTCAATCCCTAAAGAAAAGAAAATCATAGACTGTATATAATGACCTTGAAAAACGTTCACAATCCATTCTTATTACACAAGAAAAATGAATGGCAGGTCAATATTTTAATCCAGATTTTTTTTTTTCTAATAATACCACAGACTAAGATTTGGCTTGTTGATTTTGTGGGTTCAGGGTCCCAGGGCTTCACACGTTGATGCCCTCACTGTCAGAGACCAGAGGTGGTACAGGCATCGTGTGCCAGAAGACAGGAAAGAAGTGTGTATTCTGTGTGTATATTCTTGTCTCTTCTGCGTGTGTGTATTTTGGGGGATCACGTGGTCCTGGGGATTGACTCTAGGGGTACTCTACCACTTAGCTACATTCCCAGACTCTACCCATCTTTTAAATTGTTTTTTTATTTTGAGATAAGATCTTGCTAAATTGCCCAAACCGGCCTGGAACTTTTAATCCTCCTGCCTCAGTCTGCTGAGTACCTAGGCTTGCTGGTGGTGTGCTGCCACACTGGGCTTCTTTCCTTCTTGTTGTCTGTGGCCATATCGTCCTAGAGGGCCGAGCTTGTGTTTCCCTCTTGTCATCAGGCCACAAGTATTCAGTTGGGAGGGGGCACGCTGATGACCTCGTCCTCCTAAAGGCCTCACCTCTAAACCCAGAGTCAGGTTAAGTTTCTGCCCTTTAACACTTCACCAGTGATTAAATTCCAATGTGAGTTTCAAAAGGGACTAACTGTACCAGTAATGAATACTGCACAATCCTACTTTTATATGGATTTGATCCTTTAGAACAGAGGTTGGCAAGCTTTTTTTTTTTTTTTTGCGGAACTGGGGATTGAACTCAGGCCCTTGCACTTGCCAGGCAAGCACTTATTCTACTGAGTCATCTTTCCGGCCCCGGCAAGCTTTTTTGGTAAAGGACCAGATACTCAATATTTGAGGCATAGTGGACCACATGGTCTCTGTCACAACTTCTTAACTCTGCTGATGTATTATGAGAGCAGCATAAATACCATGTAAATGAATGGCTGTGGCTGTGTTGCAGTAAAACTTTATTTATAAAAACAGGCAGTCACCCTGCAAGTTGCAGTTTAACAGCTCCTGAGATCACATATATCTCAGGTCACTTTGCAGCAGGAGAAGGTAGGCGCAGGAAGCATACCAAGAGCTCATTCTAGTTCCACTACATGAGCTGTGTTTTCTAATGGTGAGGAGCTGTCCCACGATGCCAGGTCTCACAGCGCACTCTCTCTCCCTCTCTCCCTCCCTCCCTCCATCAGACCCAGGGCCAGGACCTCAGCACAATTTCACCAGCAATCATCTTTGAATCAATGTTCCAGGATTCAGATGATACAGCAATTCAGGAAGACCCTCAGCAGACAGGTTTGTTATGCTCTCTTCTTGTTCATGTTGCAGCTGGGAAAGGGAACTCACAGTCAACATGTTCAATGGCAGGCAACGAGAAATATTTAAATTAATTTAAATGAAGCAAACCTTCTATGCAGGCTCTGAAAATGAGCCTTTCAGTTCAATTCCATCTTCTCTCTGACTTCACTCAGCTTCCAAACAAGTGTCTTCTTTCCCAGAATCTCTGTGGCTTCAAAAGATGGGAAGAGCTGTAAGCTTTTCCTTTATACCCTGTTGGTGAGTGAATAGGACCCACATACAAGCTTCAGATGGAAAGAAATCTGTCTGTGTTTACTAGTCATATCAAAAAGAAAAAAGGAAAAGGAGGCTCCGGAGAGCCTGAAGACGCGCTATCCCATGTTAGACCTTGGCTGGGAAGCGTGTTGACCCACAGATGTGGCGCCGTGCCACTGAGGGGCATAGCGCTGCCCTGCTTGCAGTGAGGGAGCCGGCCCCAGGGTGCCTGAGTTCTTGTTCAGCCTGTAATGACTGTGTTGTTGTGCATAAGGCTTGGGATGTGTATATATGTTTCTATTTCTTTTTCTTACCAGCTGCCTTGATTGAAAGTTTTAATGGTGATGCAGAGTCAGTCAGTGATGTCCCGCCACCCCCAGGAAATTCAGCATCTTTATCTCTCCCGCTTGTACTGCAGCCTGGCATCTCCAAGCCACCCCAGCCTCTGCTGCCAGCCTCAGCTCTGCCTGCTCCTCCGCCTGCTCCCTCCCTAGGACCTGGTTCCCAGCGAGCTGCATTTGGCAACCCCCCTGCTCTCTTACAACCTCCGGAAGTGCCTGTTCTCCACAGCACGCAGTTTGCTGCTAATCATCAAGAGTTTCTTCCGCACCCCCAGGCACCACAGCCCATTGCACCAGGACTTTCTGTTGTGGCTGGGGCTTCTGCGTCAGCAGCAGCGGTGGCATCGGCCGTGGCAGCACCAGCCCCACCACAAAGTACTACTGAGCCCCTGCCAGCCATGGTCCAGACTCTGCCGCTGGGTGCCAACTCTGTCCTAACTAACAGTCCCACCATAACCATCACCCCCACTCCCAACACGGCTATCCTGGGGTCCAGCCTGGTCATGGGAGAGCAGAACTTACAGTGGATATTAAATGGTGCCACCAGTTCACCACAAAACCAAGAACAAACTGTAAGTATTCCATACAGACATACCCATTGGGTGATTGTACTTAACATGGGGGACATGATCAGAGGCTTTCATTTCAAAAAAGATGGCTAGTGTACCTATCCTGAATCTCTCTCGGGGCCATTTTCCCCATAATCTAGTGGTACAAATGCAGGGAATGCTGTGGTCAGTACCTTTGTGAAGGAGGCTAAGAAAGAACCTTTATGCTCACATAGTAGACACTTGAAAGAATATTCTATCTGCCATCTTATGCCTCATGTGCACAGGAATATAGTCACAAACTCCAGATGCCCAAGCATATTTTAGGAAAGCAGGTTGCTCCCAAGGCACTCAGGCATTTGTGAGGGACTGGTGTGACCCAGTCAGCCAGGTGGCAGGGTCCCTGCCAGAGGAATAATCTATGCTGCCATAGCCTGCCCTAGGATCTTTGCTCACCCTCTTCCCTTCCTCCGCCCTCCCCTCCTTTCCCATCTTGTCCCCTTTTACCCTAGCCCCTCCTCCCATCTCTGTTTCTTTCTCGTTCTCTTTTGTGTCTTCCTCTTTCTTTCTCTCTTTTTCTCTTGGTACTAGGGATTGAACCCAAAGAGTGCTGAACTGTATCTCAAGCCCTTTTCATAGTTTTGAGCAAGGACCTCCCTAAGTGGCCCAGGCTGGCACTCTTGCCTCCCACTGAAGTAGCTGGGATTAGTTATGACCCACCACGCCCAGTACATTATTTTAAAGCTATGTAACTTTTAGATTTTATTGAACAGATGAACTCTTCACCCTCACACACAAGTGTGAGGCAAGGTCTCACTATGTAGTCCAGGCTGCTCTTGAACTCACTTTGTAGCCCAGGCTAGTTTTAAACTTAAGATGATCCTCTTGCCTCAGCCTCCCAAGTACTGAGATTACAGGTACCACCACACCTGGCTCAGTTTCTCTTTCTTTTTCTTTTTTTTTTTTTTTTTTGGTGGAACCAGGGATTGAACTCAGGCCTTTGTGTTTGCCAGGCAAGCGCTTATTCTACTGAGCTATCTCCCCAGCCCTGGCTCAGTTTCTGTCATCATCATTATTCTAGTTTTGATGCTGAGGATTCAACCCAAAACCAAAACTGTGTGTTGTGTGTCACATGTCACCTGTCACCTGTCACTGAGGCCACACAGAGAAGCAAGATGCTCTACTGTGACAAACACCCATAGCTCTTCCTTTTATTAATATTTTTTTTAATAAATTTTATTTGTGTGTGTGTGTGTGTGTGTGTGTGTGTGGCCAGCTCAGCCCACCAGGGGGCGGGGCTGGCTGGCATGTGGTGCTGGGGGATTGAACCGTGGTCCCTGTGCTTTGCTTAGCTTGTTCCAGGTAGGTGCTTCAGACCACCGAGCCATCTCACCAACCCCCCTTTTATTAATATTTTGCATCAGTGTGGTACATTTGATATAACCAGCATCAGTATATTTACTAACTAAAGCTCACAATTTAGGAGTGATTCATTGTTTGTGTTGTACATGCTGGTAGATTTAACAAGTACATGTATTAAACCCATCTTTAAAGTGTCCAAAATAGTTTCACCCTGCATTTCTCTGATTCATCCTCTCTTTCTCCTCTTCTTTCTTTTTTCTTTTTTTCTGTATTTAGGACAGGGCCTACAGGGTCTTACTATGTAGATCAGACTCATAGTGATCCTCCTATTTTCAGCCTCCTAAGTGCTGGGGTTACAGGCACATGCCCCCATGCCTGTTTTCAATCGCCATGTCAGTGCACCCCACGGGTGGGGCCAGCACGGCACTCCAGGAATTGAATCCCGGCCACAGTGCTCTGCCTAAGCAGGCACTTCAGTCCACTGAGCTATCAGGCCAGCCCCCTCCCCTTCTCTTTTTACTTTTCCATCTTCCTGTGTGTTTCTAATGTCACTGTGTTAACAAAGCTCTTTTTAACACGTTATAACAGCCATAGGAGATAGGTATGATTTTACTGAGGGAAGGTTGAGATCCAGTGGGGTTAAATGACCAGCTCAAGGTCACACAGCTCACACAAGACGGAGCTGGGATTTGAGCCTAGGTAGACTGACGCAGCCTGTGCTGTTAGTTACTGCACTCTCAGCACCTTGTGGGATAGCCATGCAGATGAGGAGAGCCCAGCCAGAGAGATAGCTCGGCAGCATAAGTGCCTGCCTGCCAAATGCAAAGTCCTGAGTTCGATCTCTGGTACCGCAAAAAAAAAATCAGGAAAGCCTTGAATTATCCCTAGGAATTAGGTGGAGGAAAGGCTTACTGGGCAGGAGAGTTGGTGGGTAGATGCAAGCAAACCGGGAAGGTAGTTTAGTAAGCGCTCTGCAGTTCCACAAGTGAGGCACCAGCCCCTCTTGGGGGCTGTCTTACTCCAGATGGCCAGTCATTGGAACAACCTTTCCAGTATTGTCACCTAGTCTGCCTGCACAGAGCTTTTATCGTTCTGTCTGGGCCCATCCTAGAGAGCTGCATGAGACAAATGTCATTTTTTTCTGCACACACTGTAATTCCTTTGCATGTTTTTAAATGAGTCTCATGTCTCCTTCATTGTTTTTTAGTGGAATCTCCTGCAACTTAGCCATAAGCTTTTACTTCTTCCTGTGTATAGGGGCTTTAAAAACACAAGGTGAGAATAAAAGTTAAAGCCCTTGAACATAAGGTTTTTTTTTTGAACATAAGGTTTGAAGAGCTGGGCATGGTGACACAGGCTTGTGACCCTGTGAGGCTGAGGCAAGAGGCTCATCTCGAGTTTGAGGCTACATAGTGAGACCCTGTCTCAAAAGGGAAAAAAAGACTTCAAGCCAGGCTTGGTAGCATCTACCTGTAATCAGCACTCCAGGAGGCTGAGGCCAGAGGGTCACATTGAGTCTAGCCTGGGCAGCCTAACAGCTTACGGGACCCTATCTCAAAAGATAAAAAGGACTAGGGATATCACTCAGTGTGAAGACCCCTGGCTCAATCCCCAGTACCACAGAAATACACACACACACACACACACACACACACACACACACGACTTAAAAGCAGAAACCATTTTACCAATTTAATGGCAACAAAACTGACACGTGGCATACTTTTGTAGTCCTCCAGTCAGTGCAAATCACTGATGTTTCCCAGATGTTCGCTACAAGCCCATTGCTCTCTACGCATCACCTCAGTTAATCCTCAGGGGGCTTCATTGTCACCACCACTTTACAGAATACAGATTCTATAAGAGGTCATATCCCTTGCCTGACCTCAACAACTAGTAAGCACAGAGCTTGGACTCCCGTCGGGTGGCTGAGTCCACCTGGAGCATCCTGTGGTGCCAAGACCTTCCCAGGGCTGAGACGAAGTATTGCTGTCCATAGTGGGCAGCAGAACCCCTTGGAGGAAGGAAAGAACTTCCCAGCTTTGACAGAAGACGTGGCGAGGGCTGGGGGACCCCTTGGAGGGAAGGGCAGCCCTGGGCTCCTTCTGAGGAACCAGCAGCCTGAGCAGAGTGACCTGGGAGGAGCCTCTGGGTCCACGGGACTCATGGCTTGGGCAGCTGGGAGACAGCCAGGCGGCGGGGCACAGAGCTGGCTGCACCGTCAGCGTGGAATGTCAAACAGGGCAGTGACCTCGTGTCAGAGCACAAACAAAACATCGCTCAGTGCGGCACTCCCTGAAACTGAGGGCTCTCTGTCCTCTTGGGGATCATTACAAGTCGGGAGACCTCAGGTCCTTGGATAGCTGCCATATTCAAGTAGCCATAAGTGTGATTTCTTCTTTTTCCCAGCAGCAAGCATCGAAAGTTGAGAAGGTGTTTTTTACCACTGCAGTACCAGTAGCCAGTAGCACAGGTATGTAATTCCGTGTTAGCTTTTAAAGAAAGTCACCTCTGTGGGCCCTTTGAGGCAGAGTAAATTCTTTCAAGTTTTTGAGCCTTTAAAAATGTTTATGCAGCCCATTTAAATTCCCCTCATATTGTTCATTAGTTTGTTCGTGCTCTTACAGCTACTGGAAGTTAATGCACTGGTGTAAAGACTGCGGGCAGCCTTCCTTCCCCAGTAATGGTTCATCCCTTTCTGATACGTGGGGGCCTGCCCCTTGGCTCAGGAGTTTAAGTGCCTGCTGAGACAAAGCAGTCAGGGTCAGAATGCTGTGGTTTGGTCCCCTCATCCTCAAGCCAAACCAGACCTGCCCTGAAGGCACCCTGAGCGGTCCCTAAAAAAAAAACAAAAACAAGAAACGCCTCCTTTCAGATAGAGCTTTTCAGTGTAGCTAGAAAAAGCCTGAATTACAGTTCATGCTAAAAAGGGCAGTTGTTAATTTACAGGACTTTTTCTAATTACAGTGAGGAAGAAATAGTATCTGGGCCAGATCATGCAGAGTTGGAAGGTCCTTTTATTTTAGATTCTTTCCTTTATGCATTAAGAAACTGAGACCTTGCCTGACACAGTGGTGCATGCCCGTAATCTTAGCACACTGGGAAGTTGAGGTAGGAGAATTGTAAGTTTGAGCCCCGCCTGGGCAATGTTTAATTTGAGACAGATTAAACATAGCAAATTAAACATAGCAAACCAGGACCCAAAAAGATAAAGTGACTTCTTACGGTCACAAGTGAATTGCAGGAGCCAGAGCAGTAGCTCTTAGTTTTCCATTCCCAGCCTGTTCTGCTTCACAGAGCCTGGCTGAATTCAGAGCTGCATGTGTGCAACACACATGGTGGGGGTGGGGAAAGGAGGTCAACTGACACCTCTGTGTCAGCGACAGAGACCACACAGAGGGACAAGGTGTTCCAAGGGTCACAGTCTCAGCGGCCCAGTACAGCACGGACAGGGGCGTAGAGGAAAGGCAGCAGCACGTGTATGTGGACCCACCAGCTGCTGGCTTCTGCGCAGCCCTCAGGGAAGCACTGCCTGGGGACAGCAGGAGGGCCAGTGGGTGGATGAAGGGGGGCCTGGGTTCTCCAGCAGAACAGTGGCATAGGGGGACTACAGGCCAGAGGAAGCGGCCAGAGGCCCAGAGGCATGGAGAAGATGTCAGGGAAAGGGCAGAGCGTGCTGCAGTCGGCAGGGAAGCACAGCAGAGAAGGGCCAGATGGGTCGGGATTGTATGCTTGGCTGGCTGAGGAAAGGAGTCTTCATCTTGGGGAGATGGGGAGTGGCACAGGCTTCTTCCCTAAGGAGGAACCTGGTCCATTGAAAGAGGAAAAAGCCCAGGGGCCAGGGAGATAGCTCAGTAGAATAAGCACTTGCCTGGCAAGCACAAGGGCCTGAGTTCAATCCCCGGTTCCACAAAAAACAAACAAACAAAAAACGTGTAGTCGAAAAAGCCCAGTAAGTGGCGTCCATTCTTCCGAGCACGCCAGTGTCCCAGCACCCAGCCCTCACCCTCCCGTACCCCCCTGCCTCTCATGCCTCTGCCTGCAACTGCCTGAAGAGCAGTGTCTCTTGCCTCTCTCGCAGGGAGTTCTGTCCAGCAGATTGGCCTCAGTGTTCCTGTGATCATCATCAAACAAGAGGAGGCATGTCAGTGTCAGTGTGCGTGCCGGGACTCTGCCAAGTAGTGGGCAGCTGGTGGAGAAAGGGCTGTTCTTCCCCACCCCTCCAGAGCCAAGCCCTCCACCTGCTGATGGGCCCAGCCTGCAGCTATCACCCTAGACTTTGTCCTCACCCCAGTCCCTTGTCATCATCCTCCCCTGGACCCTCTTCCTGTGGGCAAAGCAGATAGGCCGAGGCTCCATCAGACCCTCAGATGGAAATGTTAAGTGCCATGGATGTGTCTGAGCTCCTGCCCTCCAGAGCCTGGACACCTAGTCCTGATTCCCACTGAAGCACTGCTGCAGGGTAGGAGGAGATGGGCCCAAGGCAGTGCACATGCTGTCTGCAGGAAGAGGGCAAGCAGGAAGCAGGAGGCGTGATATCTACCATCATGGGGTCAGAAATTGGAAGGATGAAGAAATCTGCTGTTTGAAAGCCTCATCTTTCAGACGTATTTTCTTTATTCACATCCCAGGAACATCCATTTTAAGGAACTGATCTTTGGAAAAAAAAAACAAAAAACAAAAAAAAGCTAAGTTATAAACGAACTGTTTGGCTGCACTGTATGTCACTTTCGCTTAATGTCATATGAATTTGGAAATTAAGGTTACTCGTATGCATAAAAGTTCTGACTGAAAGGGTGTGGTTGCCATCAATCTAGTACTGCCCATCACTTGCACTGGATTCTTTGTAGATTGGGTAGCAGGTCAGTGTGTCGCGCTCCTCCCTGTGTGTCTTTTTAATCTGAGGCTCACTCTTGCCCAAAGTCCAGGCTCTCACTCCATCAAAGTGGGCATTGGTGAGGGCAGGTGAGACAGGTGTGAGTTGGACAGGGTCTAGGTGAGATGGCTTTGTTTTTTGCACTTGGTGTTGGATCTGCAGGCTGTCCTGTAGCCCACTGTGCGTAGACTTTTGGCAGCCTCAGAGCTCAGAGCCACAATCTGGTTGTGTGGGTACCATAGACAGGTTGTTGACTGCTGTGTGTTGACAGTGTGTGTGCAGAGCAGGCTGTAGCATGGTGGTGAGCCTTTAGAGGTTTCAGTGACCGCGAACAGCCGCTGCAGCATGTGTGCATAGGGGCAACGCCACTGCTTCAGCAGCACAGTCACAGCCTTTGCCTCTGGTTCTTTCCACCTCTCAGTGCTTGCTGGAGCTTGCAGGTCACAGTGCATTTTCCTTGAGGAACATCCGTTTGGTCTTAGCATGAATGTGTGGTTTAGGGCTAGCTGCCAGTCGCTGGTCTGCCTTACTTTGCATTATGTTTTCTTCTTCAGAACAGAAGGGCTACATCTTGCTTCTTAGTAGAAGGTGCAGATTGAGTTGGCAGGCCAGGTGTTCCGGTTCTAGGTTCTGGCCAGGCTTTTGGTTGCCCTTTTCCATTTCTGCTCCTCCTCTGGGTTTTGCATACAGTCCAGTACAGTGCAAACAAGAATGTGACTTGCTCAGCTTAGTCATGTGATTTCTAAATAAAAAGGAAAAACAAAAAACAAACAAACAAACAAAAAAACCACGATGATCTACTCAGGGTAAAACAAAAAATTCCCCTTCCACCAAAAAGCCTGAAATGTTGCAATAAGTTGTCTCATTTGAAATGTTTCATTAAGTTTTGTTATAGGAAAATGTGTGTGTGTGTATATGTGTGTGTGTGTGTGTGTGTGTGTGTAGAATTATATCCATCTGTCTGCCTTTGGCTCCAAGTCATTGCCTCTTAAAACATAAAATGCAGTGCACACTAGAGTGGAAAGTTTCTCTCACCTGGCTGTTTAGTGTAGTCATGAGTGCTCACCAAGCTCAGAAACTAGGCATGGCTGAGTGTGGGACAGCCTCTGTCTCCCAAGAACTCTTTCCCTGCCTCCAGCAAGGAGCTGGTTTCTATAAACAGGGCAGTGAGAGCCAGCCAGGGACAGCTCTGCACTGACCACTGTCCTGCTTAGAGCTTACCTTGGAGCCCGAGACCCTGCCCTTAGCAAGGACATAGGGGACAAGCTTGGACACGAGGGTAGTTTTGGTAATGCTGTTACTTCCATGAGGAGAAACAGGCTTACAGGTGAGCAGCAGATTTCTCATTCCATAAGTTTAGACAGGAGAATTGATTTCTTTTTAAACTTCTTTTTAAACTTCTGTACTCTTTATCCCTAAAGGCTGGTAATTATTGGCAACCACTGACCTCAGCAGAAGTTGGTAAGGCAGGAGGAGTCTTCTCCTGCCACAGCAGGCCAGTCCTCCCAGGAAACCAAATGCACGTGGAGGTTGTCTGGATGTCTCTAGGCCTTACACCAATAGGAAGCTTTGAACCTGGATGCAAAAGCATGGATGGGACCCGAAAGTTAGCTTGTGTTAGATGGTAGTTATGGCCCCTGCACGCACTAGTGGCCTGTGCCTCTGGTTCCTGGGGCATGAGGTCGAAAGTAGGGGCCCAGAGGACAGGCAAAGCATTTGTGGTTTAAATGCTGCGGCTTGCCTAGCTAGGGCTGTCCTTAGGTTGAGCCCTGCCAAGGTCACTCTCCACAGATCAGGGGTGGTGAAGATGCATCTTTAAAAAAAAAAGTATTTAGACTAAGATTCCTCTAATTGAAGAAGTTGAAGTATCTGCCTTTTGTGGGTGGTTTGGATTACAAGACTCAGATCTGATCACTTTGGATAAATCAGGAATGTGCTTCAGATGCGTATGCCTTGCAGGTTTATTCCACAGGGTAGGCAGACCTTCCTTCCATCCCTTCCCATCATCCCTCCCTTCCCATTCTGTCCCACAGCCCTGGCTTCCAGTATCAAGGACCTCAGCTAAAAGAGGTCTTAAGACTACACTGGGAGTAGAAAGAACCTTCATGAAAAGTGTGGTTTCCCAAATCTGGAGATGAACACTGGGTAATTCGAGCAGGTAGAATCAAGCCTATTTTCCCTATGGTAACCATAACCATTCTCACCGTATAGGCCTATACTTTGGTTCTCTCTAGCATCTGCAGTTAGACTGCCCCTTCTGGGGTGCTAGTCAGCACCAAGGAGAGGAGTTGATGAACTCAGGAGGCAGTAAGAAAACCAGCAGGTGCCACCAGATTGCCTGCATGAACTTGGCCCTTCCCAGGTAGGCGGGTGGGGCATTGAGGGGAATGGCTCAGTCTTTCCTGATGGGGTCTGGCCAGTCCCAAGAGCCTCCCCAGTCAAGGAGATCATGCTATAGGTCTTGAGAGGTGATGCCCTCTCTGGGTAGAAGGGCAGGGGCTGTTCATGACCACCTCTGGGAGAGTCTGTAGACTGGAGAGTCACTTTCAGGTTCAAGACAGTGGACTGATGGGGATAATGGAGGGTAGGTGGGTTTTCCTGAGAGACTGTATAATGTTGAATGTGTCCAGAGGGACAAGTTTGCAGAACCTCATATTGGTATATTAAAGAAATAATAAAATAAAAAGCACTTTAGGTTACTTTATCTTTAACCCAATTGCTGCAATTTCTGTTGTGTGTATATATATATACATATATACATATACTTTCCACAAAGTTTTATTTTTTGCTCAGAATAAAAAAGTTAAACTGAGGTGTGAAAAGAAAGCACTTACCTTGGTGCAATATGTGTAGCGTGATGGTCGTCGTCCCATGTGGCCCTGGCCTGGTCGTGTTTTTCCCCTTGCTCAGCCTGTGCCAGGAGGCTCTGTATAGGGAAACACTCTCATCCTCAGCAACTGCTCAATCTATGCAAGCCTTCCTTGTGCCCCAGGGCGCCCCCTCAGGCTCTCGGGAGAACTGCTGTGGGTGGTGTTTTCTCCAGCTGACTGTTGAGGCCCTTGCCACAACTTCTTGGCCCCTTGCCATCTTTCCCTCTTCACCATTACAAAGTGATGCCTGAAAGGAACAAGTTGTTCCTAGGTAGAAACCTGGCACCTTCTAGATTTTTATACTTGTAATCACGTCCATTGTCCTTTAAGACTTCTCCAGTGTCGCTGAAACCATTGATTTGTGGAACTACAACAATACTGCTCAAGAGCTTACAATTTTCTGATATACCAATCAGAAACGTTTGGGGAGGGGTCAGGGCAACATGAACCATTTCTGCTCTGCTCTTCATACCATCTGGGTTGGTTCTGAGAAATAAGGCTTCCAGCCTCCATTAAATCCAGTAAACAAAGCTACTAATAATCTTGTTTATCAATGTTCTTCCTTTTCCCTCGCCTCCTCCCATTTACTCTTCAATTTTCAGGCTCTAGTCTGCAGAATGTTTAAATACACTTCACTGAAGCAGATTTCCGTAGATGCAATGTGCAAGTAGTTCTGCTGTATCTACGGGCAGCTGTCCGTTCCTTAGCAGTTGAGGGTACAGGGTTGGCAATAAAACCCAGAAATGTGTATTTCTGATGGGTCAGTCTAGTTAGCCTGTTTGTTCTTGCATATTCTTGTGAGGGGGAGAGGGAAAGGGCCTTGTTTCGTCTCATGCCCCTTGGGGATGCTAATGATCAGTCGGGCATTTCTCACTGTTATTCTTGATCAAGAGGGCTTCTCAGTCTGCATTGAAAAATGCAAATTAAACTGGATCTTTATGTAAGCTGTACATAGTACAAGCTTTTTTTTTTTTACTGGAAATGAGGTTTAAAACCATACACTACCCTTTTGGTGGTGTGCCCACTGGGCCAAAAATTGGGTGATAATGTCACTTTGTCAGCTCAATGCAGTTTCTACTTTTTCTTATGGGAAAATTTTTCATAAAACCTTTTTTCACCAAAACCCAGGGGTGTTTTTTGCAATATCCTTGTTGTCCTTGTAGTGGTGCCAAGTCAGAGGCTTCTCTTGCCCTTTTCCTCTCATGTTCTCAGGCCTCTCAAAGGCTGTTTGACTCTACAGTCTCCATCTTTTGTTGGTTTTTAGAGAAGGGTGGGTAGAGTCAGAGTTCAAGGTGGCTGTTTCCTTTCCCTGTGAACTCCCCCTTGTTCCTTTCTGGAGTGTGGCTATAAACAGTTTTTGTTCAGTCTCTAGTAGAAATCTTCTAGCCAGGAAAGGCAAGTGCCCCCAGGAGCTTTTGACACACTAATCATTGGCTGGTAGTCTTGGTGAGTTTTTAAATCCCAAATAGTTTTATTTGGATTATGTAAAAGTCTATCAAATTTATTTAAGTGTGAAACATGGGAACAACAGACTTCCACTGAGCGATATGAAAACGTTACAGGTTCAGTACTTCCAAAGGAAGAAACCTCCAAATCCAAAAACAATAAATATGAATTTGTATTTTTGAAGAATGTGAAATAATAGTGTTTGCTTAATTGCTCATTTTGTATAAACTTAATATTGTACTTTAAAATACCTGCTAAGAAGTGAAAATTTAACTTTTTTGAATTGAAGAAGCAATATTAAATACTAATGAAATCCTAATTAAATGCTTATTTAAATTTGGTAGTATTTGTGCTTTTCTTCCCTAAACATTTTTCCACCACTTCTCCCCAGCCCCACCGAGCCATCAGTCTGGGAGAAAGGACAGAAAGGAAAGGTCGGTCACCAGGATAGTCTGCAGGTTTCCTTTTAATTAAGGCTCTGCCAAAGGTGTTTTATGGGGCTAACAGCCCCCAAAGCATGAAATGGACATGTAACACTACCTGGAACCCCCAAAGTGGGCCAGACCATGCTGGTGGGCACTGCTGGTCCACCCAAATCCAAATAGTCAGACTGGGTATTTGTTGGCTACATTTCAAAGCGCAGCACGGCCTTCAGCCAGGAAGAAGTGGGAGTGAACCCAGCTGCTAGCAAGCGCTGCCACCCAGGTTGAAGGCCAAGTACCAGCCACTGCCTGTGAAGACTGGTCCCCTTAACTGAAGGGAGTTGTTCTGAGTCCAGCCACCATCCCTGGGGAAGGAGATGTCAGGGCACCCGGCTCGGGGATGGTCATGGCTCCGCAGCTCCATCACCAACATCCTTTGGAAAGCCACCTCTGGAGGAAACAGTTGGTTGGGGCAGCGCTCCAGGCTTGGCTGAGCCATTCTAGTTGGAAGGGAAAGGAAAAAAGTGAGCCTGGAAAGCTTTGGATTAGGCCCCGAAAGGATAAGGCCACTTGGCATCTTGACAGTACTTAACTTTTTCAAAACCTCTCACCCACATCAAAGAAGGTTAAGGGTAAAGCAGCAGGCACAGTCTTCCACCCTCCAGCGGAAGCGAGGGCTCGGCCAATATGCCAGTGGGCAGACCCCACCCCTACCCCGAGGCCCAGCCCGGGGTGGGCACTGACCCCGCCACCAGCCGGCTCTGGGCGACGGCGGCCCAGCTGCCGCAGCATCTCCTCGCAAGAGGCGATGGTGTCCAGGAGCTGCCGCTGTCGCTGTTCCACCGCGTCCAGCAGCTGCTGGGCGCGCTCATCCCGGGGCGGCTGCGGGGGTGGCCTCCCGCCGAGCCCCAGCCCCGCCTTCCCGCGGTCCACGCCGGCAGCCTCCCTGCCCGGGAAAGAGCGAGACACGCAGGGTCAGGGCAGGCGCCTGTGGGCTCCGAGCCCCTTCCCTCCGCCCCGACGGGTCCCCTCTCACCCCCGTGACCAGTCTGAGCCCGGGCCCCATTCCATCTCCGCCTGCGCGGCCCGACCACCGCCCCCCTTTCGGCCGCCCCCCCTCCCCAGCGTTGCGCTAGTGCTCCGCAAAGCTGTGCCCCGCCCCGTCCCCACCGGTCTCCTTCAATCCTCCTGGGGGTCGTGGTCCCTTTAAGCTGCCCGGCGCGGAGGTGGGGCCGAGCCTCCCGGACCGGAAGCCTGTTGGGTGCGTCACTTCCTCCAGGAAGCGGGCCTGGGCGGATGTCTCCTGCGCGACCGTGCACCCGGTTGAGGGCCGCAGTGGCTTCCAGCATGGGGTTGAGCGATGGGCCGGTGGGCTCTGCCCGCAGCGGCCGCCTCCTCCGTCCCCCGAGCCCCGCTCCGGCGGCGCCGGGGGCCCGGCTGCTGCGGCTCCCGGGGAGTGGGGCGGGGCCGGCCGCAAGCCCCGAGCGCGCCGGCTGGACCGAGGCGCTGCGGGCTGCGGTGGCCGAGCTGCGCGCCGGCGCCGTGGTGGCCGTCCCCACCGACACGTTGTACGGCCTGGCCTGTTCGGCGAGCTGTTCGGAGGCACTGGGCGCTGTGTATCGTCTCAAGGGCCGCAGCGAGACAAAGCCGCTGGCCGTTTGCCTGGGCCGCGTGGCCGACGTCTACAGGTGAGGCCGCCCCGACCCGGCCCCGCTGGGGGCGGCACCGCGGGAGGGGTTTCCGGTGACAGGCTTGGGGGACTGAGGCGCAGGCAGCGGGAGGGGCTTGTCCTGGCGCACCGAGGAATCCGGAACTGGAAGGCCCGAGCGAGACGCTGCGACGCAGTGATGGGCGAGGCGGGCAGGACCCTTCTCTCGTCGCTTTTGTGCGTACCGGAGGAGGCCCAGGGGGCGAAAGGAAGCGTGGTAGCTTGACTTGGCAATGCGTGCTTTGCAGAACATAGCACACTGAGCTTGATAGGATAGCCTGTGACTGTGACAGCTGTGCCGCTCTTGTCTCTGAGGCATGGGGACTCCAAGACTGCCGTGCTTGTCTGGAGTCCTGCTTTCTGCTCAGTCTGAGGGGAGCAGGGCGACCCGCAGATCGCATTGTAAGCCCAAAGGACCCCTTTTTTGAATCTGCCCAGAGTAGCGGCTCTTCCCTTGAAGTAGACTGTGCTCCTTTGTTTCCCAGGTACTGTCAAGTGAGAGTACCGGAGGAGCTCCTAAAAGAGCTGTTGCCAGGACCAGTGACCCTGGTGATGGAACGCTCAGTGGAGCTCAACAAAGACCTGAACCCTTTTACTCCTGTGAGTTAAGTTTTCTCCTTTTCCAGCCGTCTGGCTGTTTCTGGGGTTCAGAACAGATCGATTCCCTACCCCTTCCAGCCTGCCTGTGATCTCCTTTTCATTTGCCTCAGCTTGTGGGCATCCGGATTCCTGACCATGCTTTCATGCGGGAGTTGGCCCAGATGTTTGGGGGACCACTTGCTCTCACCAGTGCCAACCCCAGCTCCCAAGCCAGTTCCCTGAAAGTTGAGGTGAGTCAGCCCTTCCCCTGGAAACACCAGTGTTTCCTTTGAACCAGTGGGGTAATGGTGGATGGTTGTCAGGAATTGCCTACAGGAGTCTTTTGGCTATGCAGTTGGTCTGGGGTGGGAGGACACCCAGAATAAAAGAATCTTGTAAAGGTTTTCCCTTAAAGTTTGGGAGAACAGGGAGCACTGGTATGCTTGTTTGTAGGAAAGGCTACGATAATTAAAATTATTTTTTTCCCATTTTTGTGAGGGTAGCAGTTGTCAAGACTACTAACTTAGGCTGTAAGTCTTTACAGCGGTGTTATAAAGAAAGATGAAGGCTGGGGGGGATGGCTCAGAGGCATGAGCACCTACCTGGCAAGCACAAGGCGCTGAGTTTGATACCCAGACCCCTGGGCCTCAGCCCCAGAACTGGGTATGGTGATGCATGCTTGTAATCCCAGCACTCAGGAGGCTAGGAGGATCTCTACAAGTTCGGGATCAGCCGGGGGGCTATAAAAAGTGAGCATAAGGCCAGCCTAAACTGCATAGTGCTCAAAAAAAAAAAAAAAAGGTGAAAGGCTCTGAAAAGTTGTTACTTCTTTCAAGTCACACAGCCATCAGGTTGCTGGCTTACATTTTTACCTATTTATTTTTCTCTCTTCAAAGGAGTGGTAGTTGAACCCAGGACCTTGCACATAGGTGCTATACCACTGAGTTTCATCCCCAGTTCTCCTTTCTTATTTTGAGACAAGTTCTCACTAATTGTCAGGGCTAGCCTTGAACTCAGGAGGCTACTCAGTCTCCTGAGTAGCTGGGATTATAGCCATGAGATTTTTTTTTTTTTTTTTTTAATTTATTTGTTGGGGGGGCAGCTCAGCCCACCAGGGGGCGGGGATGGCTGGCTTGTGGTGCTGGGGGATTGAACCGCGGTCCCTTCCTTTGCTAAGCTTGTTCTAAGTAGGTGCTTTAGACCACTGAGCCATCTCACCAGCCCATATAGCCATGAGATTTTTATCCAGTTTTTGTTTCTCTTTTTTGTTTTGTGGCCGGCTCAGCCCACCCTAGGGGCAGGGCTGGTGCTGCATGTGGTACTGGGGATCAACCCTCAGTCCCTGCACTTGCCTAAGCTTGCCTAAGCATGCGCTTTAGACCGCTGAGCTATCTCGCCAGCCCTTTATCCAGTTTTTAATTCACAACCTTGTTCTCTCACCTTTGTCACAACCCAAGTTAAAGAAAGTGTTTTGGGTACATTACTTGGAATCAGTGAAGACATAAGAAATTTCACTTAACTTTTCTTTTTAAACTTGAGTTTAGTGGACTGCATTAGGTGGTGGGATACTCCATGTCCAGGCTTAGGCTTAGGGAGTGAAACCCGAACTGTGCACTCAGCATCCTTCTCATTCTCAGACCGCAGGGGCTTTTGGTCTGGATAGCTGTGCAGTGTGGAGCACGTCGGGATGGGGTTCTTACCTTGGCAGCAATCCCTTGATCTGCGTAGCACAGTAGAATGTACCTGGTGTTTGTGATTCTCTACTCATTCCCAGCCCTAACTGCGCTTCCCCAGAGGAGGGTGGGGGCAAAGCACAGTCCTGGTAGGCATGTGCTTCCCACAGCCACAGCCTGAGTGCTGTCCACCTGCAGAGTCCATCTGTTGCTTTTTCCTGCCCTGATGCAGGGCTCCAGTGAATCCTGGATTGGGGCAGCAGAGGTGGAAGGACGTTTAGCCTGTCCTTGTTTTGTAGGCTTGGAAGGCATAGCTTGCATGCATCACCCAGATGTGGTGGTGAGCCCAGGGTTAGGGCCCACACCTCCAGACTCCCACCCAGAGCCCTAGTGAATGTTCATACTCCTCCCTGACCTGAACAATGCGTGGAATTTCTTTCCAGTGGTGTTACGCAGGATTCTGTCCAGAAGTGCCACAAATCTCAGGGGGTGCTTGGCCTGGGTGCTAGCACAGTGCTGTTTCAAGGAAGAGACCTCCTCCTAAACTGAGGCCTCTGTCTTAGGAGCCAGTGCAGTGTGACTTCACTGGGGACACCAGGGAAATGGCCATACTTTTTCTTTACTTCTTCAGGAGTTCCAAGACCTCTGGCCTCATTTGTCACTCATCATTGATGGGGGACCTATTGGGGACAGCCAGAGCCTTGAGTGTCGCCTGGGTTCTACTGTGGTTGACTTGTCTGTGCCTGGAAAGTTTGGCATCATCCGTCCAGGATGGTAAGTCTCTTTCCTGACATTGGGGTAGAATTTGAGGGAAGCCAGAGAGATGAAAAGCAGTTTTGACAGGTAAAGGCTGTCAGGCAAGACAAGCAGGCATAGTAGGACTGGATTTTTGGCCTTTTTTGGATTCACCAAGTGACTGTTTGATGAACAAAGCATAGGACCCGTGAGTTTCGAGGCCCCTGGTCAGCAGGCCTTGGTGGGCTCCAGACTGTAACCATCCTGCTTTGTTCTCTTCAGCGCCCTAGAAAGCACTACAGCCACCCTCCGGAAGTACAGGCTGCTCCCTTCACACGGATCCCGCTCATGAACTTGCGGAGATGGACACTGTGGACACAGGGATGGCGCTGGATACTGTGTGTCTGTCTGCTGGTGATCGGTGAGGCCTCATTTGGAGGCCACTGGAACCACATCACTAGCCCAAGCTGTTACCCAACATATCTTTCTGAGCTCTAGATCAGAAGCTACTGTTTTAGCTTTGTCCTTCAGAAAGGCTGTATTTATTCTAGTTTTGTGTCTCAGATGAAAACCCAATAAAGTGGTGAAGAACATTCCTATCTGTTTTGACATTTCTTCCCTTGTTTTCTCTTTTAAAATGAAAACTAATTAGGGCCAGCCAGATAGCTCAGCAGATTAAAGTGCCTGCTTAGGCAGACGCAGGGGTCAGAGGTTCAGTCCCCTGCCTGCCATGCTGACCCCACCCCAGGGCACGCTGAGACTGCAATTGAGACTGGATGTGGTGGCGCATGTCTGTAATCCCAGTGCTTGGGAAGCTGAAAACAGAAATCACTATGAGTTGATCTGTGTAGTGAGACCCTGTACTAAATACAAAAAATAAAATGAAAACTAACAGATACAGAATCTAGTGATACTCTTCTCTGGAGGGTGGAGTCCCTTAAGATCTAAAGTGGCAAGAGGTGCTGGCACAGTTGAAAAGTGAGGCAACCAAAGGCAAAGGTTTAGGCTGCTGAAGCCAGAACCAGGTTGAGATAAAGATCCTAGAGCCACAGGCCAAACTGCTCTGAACTGGTGGGGTCACTGGTGAGTTGTGATCAGCTAGCAGGAGGAGTAGTCACCATTTTGGTCTAATGGAAAATCTGGTGGGGTGGGGCAAATTAAATATTAGAAAATAAATCTCTTGTTCTGGCTAGTGATTTATTCATAAAGTATAATTAAACTCAGTAGCCTCTCCACCAACTGTTGAAGTTATCATTTGGCATTTGAACTTTTTTACTAAAAAAATACTGCTAGGGGGCCAGGGAGATGGCTCAGTAGAATAAGCACTTCCTTGGCAAGTGCAAGGGCCTGAGTTCAATCCCCAGTTCCGCAAAAAAAAAAATACTACTAGTAAACACATATTTGTAAATCATTTATTTTTTTGTTTTTTAAATTGTTTGCTTAGGGTAAGATTATTAGACCAAAGTGTACATACGCATTTATGGCTCTTGTAGAGTAGCCTTCAAAAGAACTGAATCAAGTTCCCTTGCCATCAGTAGTGCGTGAGGATAGCTGCCCCTTCTTGGCTGGCCTTGCCTTGGTTTTCATGTTTTCCACATGTGAAGTGAAACTACTGCATGTCAACATCCAGACCTGTCACTTGTCCTCAACCACAAGCTAGATGGCCAGGGCTGTTCCTGTTCATCTGTGGGGTGGAATTTAATGTTAGTAACCCAAATGCAGCTGGTGTCCTTGAGATGATGTAGAGTCCGCTTCTCCCCTTTCCTCTGTACCGCACTTCTCAGAATTAGGATTCAGTCTTGAGCCCATAATCCTCTAAATCCACTGGTTTCCAATGCACGTTATTTCATGTATCCTAAGAATCTTGCCAAGGTGTTCCAGAGCCTACTTTAACCAGGGTCCCTGGAATTAGCATATTAGTTTGTAAATAAGAACTGGATTGTTAACTATTCCCTATAGAAATAAATTTAAACTAGTAATTTCTCAAGCAAACCCACTCTTTTTTTTTTTTTTTTTGCGGAACCAGGGATTGAACTCAGGCCCTTGCACTTGCCAGGGAAGCGCTTACTCTACTGAACCATCTCCCCGGCCCCCAAACCCACTCTTCATTGTGCTAAAACTACAGCCAGCCCAGGCCACATGTCAGAATCTGAGGTCAGGATTCATGAGGTCTTCAAGCAAAAGGAATGCGTACTTGAGAAAACCACTTTCTACTTCATACAGATCACAGTAGCGCTCCAAGTGGCTCCAGTGAGCGCTCATTTAGTTCAGGGAGCTGAAGGGAGAAGTCCTAGTTCTCTCCCCAGAGCCATATGTTCATCGGGGATAAGGAGGCTCTGGGGCAGAGGTGTTGTCTCAGGAAAAAACTAAACCAACACTGGGTGAAAATGCCAAAAAGAAAAACATAAAACTGCCCAGCTACAAGGCCACGCCATAGAAAACAGTCCTGTAGCATAGGGAGGACAGGAGCCATTCCTAGTTTAAAGTTTTCCCCGGCACTGAGCATGTGCTAAAGTGCTCGGTACTGAGTGTCTGTGACCACTCAAGACTATTTCCTCAGGGTTGGGTAATCAATCTGCTGGAAGGAACTTAAGCCTGTAAGTTCCCTTTTAGAAAGTCTCAACTGTGATTCCCTATCTTCAAGAAGACCCAGTGAGGGAGCAGGCCTGAAAAGGGGACACAGACTGGTGGAGGGAGGAGAGTGCATGCTAGCTCAGAGAGCTGAAACCCTTCCAAGGGCAGGAACTGCATGATCCCACCATATAGCAGCAACCTGCGCAGAGTTCAAAGCCTGAAGAGATTATATAAAAGTGGCCTGAGGACGTGGAGCTGCCCTAGGCTATGTGCAGTCACCTGCCAGCCTCTACCCTTCTCTCTGGAACACCACCCTGCAGTGGGCCCCACCACATTCACCAGAGCAACAGGCTCTGTTCTCCATGAACCCTGGCCTGATGGCCACCCAGAAGCACCCAGCTGCTGACTTGGGGGCCAGTGAGTGCCTATGCCTTCGGCTGAGCCTGCATGGTGACATCTCCCAGCAAGGCTTGCATGCCAGCGCCTCACGGCTCTCACATCAGCCACTGCTCCTTCTCTTTGATGAAGTGTTCTGCCCAGCGGCGGGTCAGCTCGAGGTACAGGCTGGGCTGATGGGGCAGGTAGTCCAAATACAAGCGAGTGGGTGTCTTCTTGGGAATGGCCTTCTCGATCTGTGTGCCTTCATGCCACTCATTGAAAGAGGTGATGGAGACAATCTCTGGCCTCACCGTCAGGGCTGCCTGCAGCGCTGTCTCATAGTACTTGCCATTGACCCTGTTCCGAGTATTGTGGTTATTCCAGGGCCGGATGCTGGTGTCAATGTAGCCTGGCCCCACACTGGGAATGAACATGAGATTGTTGGCATCACAAAAATTCTTCACAGCTTTCCAGTTCTGATGGGAGGAGCCAAAGGAGAAACCATTGGAGGCAAAGTAGGTGTACATGCCATCAAATCCTGCTGCAAGGATGTCGTGGGTGTGGCCCTCCTCCACCAGCAATGCTACGAAGACTCCATCATAGGGTGTGTTGCGGACTGAGTGGGGCCCATTTGGTGTCAAGAGGTGTGCCCAGGCCTCAGGGGACGTCAGGTATGAGTCGTAGATATAAAAGAGTGGGAGGCTTTTGCCCATGCTGTTCTTATAGCGGTAAAATGCACCATGGGAACCATACCTGAAGAGGAGGAAGAGGCAGTCAGAGTGAGATGTAAGACACCAGCACAACTATGGACGCAGCCACACGCCTGTGGCACAGTTCTGGACTTAAGTCTCCACAGTGGAATTTACCAGAGCAAGAACCAGCTTCCCACTCTGTTCCCCAGCCCTCTCACTCCCAAGGCTCACTGCCCCACCCCAAGCTACCACCCTAGCCACTTCACTGGTCTTCAGGATACCATTCTGCCTCCCTATCATCTATTCTTTTTATTTACACTTTGCACTGAGTTGCATACTTAGCCCTTCTTTAAATTTTGAGACAGAGTCTCACTAAGTTGCCCAGGCTACCCCCAAAGAAAACAAAAAGATAAACAAGTCTAAAAAATTGAAAAAAAAAAAAAAAGTTGCCCAGGCTAGCCTCTTGGTTCAATCTCCTAGTACCTAGAATTATAGATGTGCACCACTGTGCCTGGCTATTTATTTATTCGTGTATTTATTTTGAGACAGAGTCTCAGCTAAAGCTAACCTTGAACTCACTTTGTAGTCCAGGCTGGCCTCAAACTCTCAGTGATCTTTCTGCCTCAGCCTCCTGAGTGCTGGGATTACAGGCGTGTGCCACCAGGCCCAGCTATTTATTTATTTTGAAACAGTTTCACTGTATAATTCAGGCTAACCTTCAGTTTATGATCCTTCTGTCTCAACCTCCCGGGTGCTGGGATTACAGATGTGTACCACCACACCGGGTTCCATTCTATTTTAAAAATATAAATCAAATTGATCCTAGCCTGGGCAACTTAGTGAGACTCTGTCTCAAAATACAAAAGAAAGGGCTGGAGCATTGCACAAGATGAACGTCCTGAGTTCACTTCCCAGTACCAAAAAAGAAAGTGGAATCAGATCTGAGTGCTTACTGCTGGGACTTGCAAGCCCCACCTTGCTTGATCTGGCTGCCTGCCTCCATTCTGGCTATTGTCCCCCACATCTGCACTTGCCACCTATGCCATGTCTAGTGGTTTCATCCTATGGCTGCTATATCTGTTACCCTCTGTCTAGACCTCTCCACCTGCCCCCAGATCTTTGCAGAGCTTTTTTGTCCTTTTGATGTTGGATAGTGAGCCCAGGGCCTCATGTGTGCTAAGCAAGCTCCATGCTGCCTCCACCCTCTTTTTTGTTTAACCACCTTTATTTTTTTTATAGCTCTGAAATCTGGTAAATCTGAGATCAATGTGCCTAAGAGATTTGGTTCCTGAAGGCTGCTTCCTTGGCTGGTGGATGCCCACCATCTTGTTGTGTCCTCCCAGGGATGTGAGCAACAGCCAACCTGTATATTCAGGGCTCAACACTGTCTACTAAAGGAGGTATCCTGGCCGCTTGTTCTAAAGTAGCTTTCTGAGGGCCAGGGTGCCCGTCAGTCCTTATGCTTAGCACATTGTGTTTGACCCCCAGCACTGCAAAAAAGCAAGTTCCTTGGGCACATTCTAATACAAAACTCATTATTCCTTATTCTTTTTTTTTCATAGTATGAATTACTATTAAGTATTTCATTTAATTATTTCTGGCTCCATTACACTCCTAACACACACTAAAATGTAAGTATGAAATCAGAAGCTTTGTTTTTACCAATTACTGTAAAATTGGTGGGCTAAAGTACCTAGATACAAATAAATACTCAATAAGTATTTTTAAAAAATTGGTACCGAGGACTTAAAAAAAATTGGTACAGAGGATCAAACTCAAGACCTTGCACTTACCAGGCAGGCACTTAAGGTACTGAGCTATCTCTCCAGCCCAATAGACACTTCTTAAATAAATGAATACATATAAGTACCATACAAAGCAATTCTGCATGTATTAATTTATGTAACTCTCACAAGTTTCAAAGCTTGTGATCTTTGGTCACAGGTTAGAG